CCCAATAGGCTGGCCATCGCTCGGACGTCCATTCCCTGTGCTTTTGTTCGCTTTCGTGCGTGGCTTTTTCGCCCAGTGATCCAGGACGCTCCTCGATTAGGGGGGCCACATGCCAACGAAGTGAACCCCACCCTCCCCCTCAGAAGTCGTGGGGGGTAGGGGTGTAGGGTTCGCATGTGGCCCCCTATCGATGGTCCCCGCCGAAGGAAAAATGCACGCGTCCGAGCGATGCCAGGCAGGGGGCGCCGCCAGAGGCGGCGCCACAGTGCCGAGGCCGCCCCCGGGCTGCTCGCGGAGGGTCCGCGGAGGCCGGCCCGACCTGCCCGGGGACCGCGCACGGCCGGACCACCTCCCCTCAGATCCGACGTGGCGAGCACGAGGGCGGCACAGCGAAAGATCACGACTGCTCGGCGGCGACGATAGGGGCGGATAGCCCAGGGGCGGGCATTACACGCATTCGCCCGGGAGCCTTGTCGAAGACATGGATCATCGGCGCACCTCAATAGATGTACTGCTTTCCCCTGGGCTACTCGCCCCTATCACCGCCTCTGAAATGCGGCCTCCGACCGCGCATCTTTCTGCGTCGCACTTCGGGCCGGCTCGATCCGAGAGGCTCCCAGGGCCCGAACAGCCGTGCGAGCACGCACGGCGTGGCAAGACTGCGACGCCCAGAGCTCGGGTCCTGTAGGTGCTCCCAGGAGTGCCCCGTCTGCCAGTGGCGCCCCCTGGGATTCCCACAGAGGCCCACGCAGTCTCCAAAGAGCACCCCTCACACAGCCCAGGGTACTCCTCACTCCTCCTCCTCCTCCTCCTCCCCCTCCTCCTTTTCTTTTCCTCCACTAAGGACTACAACGTGGAGCGAAAAGCTGGGGGCACCCCTTGGGCCGGGGGCAGCTTCAGCAACCCCCGGTCAGGGTCCTCCGCCTCGGGCACGCTCTGCCCCTGGGTCAGTGCAAGCCCGAGTCAGCCAGGCTCTGCAGGACCCTGCAGGATCTTGCAGGATCCTTCCTGCAAGACCCTGCGCGCAAGCCCAGGCCAATGCAACCCTGGCTTTGCAGGATTCTGCAAGATCCGCCGCCGTGGCTGATGGGCCGATTTTCCACCACCACCACCAGAAGTTGGAGGGGGGAAGGAGGTGTAGGATGAGGAGGAGGTAGAGGAGGAGGAGGAGGAGGAGGAGGAGGAGGAGGAGGAGGAGGAGGAGGGGGACCCCCTCCCCCTCCTACTTATGGTGGCGGCTGTAAAAACAAGCCCATCAGTGGCTGACCTCAAGGCTCCCCACGAGGGAGGTCCACACGCCGCCCGGCCCTGAGCCTACAGCCAACCCGTATCGTGAGGCTACGCGGTAAGGATGCAAGGGCCTTGGAGGGCCCCCTCAGCGTTTTGTCGGAGGAGGCTGGCCAACGAAAGTGGCCAAGCATGGGCCGAAGGGGCAGGGACGCAGAGGTACCCGTGGGAAGGGTGCCCATGCTTACTATTGCCGGGTTGACTGTATATACCCACCCAGTGATCTTCGTCGTCGGGCTCTCGTATAAGAACTCGGGCCTCGGGCGGCCGTTCGGGGGGCGGTCCAGACACCGCCGGCCGCCTCTCGGCGAGGCGCAGCTGCCAAACCGCATCCCGAGTGCAGGAAAGCCCGGGAAGCGACGAGAGCGGTCAGGATCAATGCCCACACCTGAAGATAACACACGCCGCCGAAGATGGGGAGACCAAGAGGTATCCATGCCGCCGCCAGTCCCCTGACCTCTCCCATCCCGGGGTGTGTGCTAACCAAACTTCGACAAAACGAGTCCAGCGGTGGCGGGCTCAAAAAAGGGTAAAACGAGAGGAAGGGTAGCGGTACGGGTACCCTTTAGAGGCCTCCTAGATAGGGGGAGGAGATGGGGTCGGAGGACCTCGCCGCATCGCCGATACATCGGCGATGCATCGCCGATGCATCGGCGATGCACCCGGCCATGCGCTGGCGACCTCCACGATGCTTCGCGGCGACAATCGGCGTGGAGAAAACTGGCCGCACATCGAGCCGCACCACCGATGCAACCGGCGATGCATCCCCGATGCGGCGCGATCCTTCGAACCCACCTACTCCGACCCCCAGCCTGGGAGGCCTGAACCTTGCCTCCCTCTCTGAGGCATGCTACCTGCACAAACACTCGTTCTCCGTGCGGACTACGGCCGGAGTCGGCGCTGACCTCCGCTGGCGGCGGCCGGGCCGTGCCGCGCCGGGGGCCCTGCGCGCGCCGGGGGGGGGGAAAGGGGGGGGGTCCAGCTTTGGGTGACCCACAGAAAGGGTCCAGCTGAAAGGGGGTGGTGCAATCGATCTCGAGCAAGTGTATTGCAAATATATATATATATATATATATATATATAGATATTGCGCAGGAGAACTGTACTGCATCGTTTTGCAAGTAATGTATTGCGCGCGAGAATCCAGCAATACACTTGTGCCCCAGGATGCATTGCACGCCCCAAATGTGTTGCAAACCCACAAATCTATTGCTGCAAATCTGTTGCACAACCCCCTTGTCGCTGGACCCCCTTCTGGGTCAACCCGACCAGCGCCGACTCAAGGCAGTCTCGCAGACCTCCGAGCGTGTTCTTCAATGCCGTTTTGTGTGTGTTGTTCTATGGCACCGCCTGCACCCCGGGCCCTGCCCTCTCCGGCCGCCTGAGGCCCCGCCCGCCTGCGCCCTGTCTCCTTAATTAGAGCTGTGCGTAGCCCGCCTAGCTTTTAGTGGAAGAGGTTCGCTCTCGCCCCGCCGACCAAAAAGTGTGTGTTGTTCTATCGTTTTTCGGCTACGCGCAAGGAGTGACCTGGGGTAAGGAAGGCCCCTGGAGGGCCGAGCCCCTTTCGGGGCCTCTCCTTCACCCCGCATATGGGTCCATTGCTCGGCGGTGGACCAACCTCCCTTAACAGAAAACCTCCATGGAGTGAAGACGGCCAGGGACCGATACCGACGCACCTGGACCCGCAAACTCGACGGCCGCGAAGCCCCCTCGCGAACCGAAAACAAGCATTTCGCTAATCGACGTGCCAGGGGAGAAGGTCTGTCCACCCCCGACCCTTTAAGGGCCTTTCCTTCACCCCCCATTTGGGACGCCGGAAATGGGTACGGAAAACATGGGTACAATGCCCAACAACAAATGTTGCCCCAAACCGACAGCGGCCGCTGTTGAGCAGGCGGGCGGTTTTTTGTCTTCGAAGAACAGCGTCCGCGGCGGCGCGAACAGCAGGTCCTCTTCAGAATGAACAGGAAGTGCTGCTGGGCATCGTGCCCGTTCTTTCCGTACCCACCTCGATCGTCCTGACCCATGTGTCGGGTGTTGCTAGAAGTGCCCCTGCTCCAGTGTCCCCCCAGGATTCTCGGGGTAGCCCAAACGGCTGCCAAAGCACCCCTCACGAGGCCCAGAGGGCCTCAGGGGCTTCTAAATGGAGCGAAAAGCTGGGGGCACCTTGGGCCAGGGGCACTTCTAGCAACAGCCAAATGTGGGCCCATCGCCGCCCGCCCGACTCCCCACGCGCTGGCGCGCCGACCGCCTCCGGCATCGCCGACACCTTGCACTGCGCGGGGTCCGCCTCGCGCCTGGCGCCCGCCCGCGGCCCGGAGGTCTCCGCGCGCGGGCGCGCGGGGGGGTCTCGCCCCGCCTCGCCTCGCCTTCCCCCTCCTTGCGCCCCCTCCGCCGTCTCCTCGTCCTCCACCGCCTGCCCCTCGTTCTCCCCCTTCTCCACCTCCTCCCCCTCCTCGCCCCCCTCTGGCTCCTGCACCTCCTCCACCTCCCCCTCCCCCCCTTTCCTCTCCTCGCCTCCCCCCACCTCGCGCCCCCTCCTCCTCGTCTTCGTCCTCCTTCTCCTCCTCCTCCTCGTCCTCCTAATCCTGAGTAAGAATCCCCTCAGTAAACTTCCCAAACCTAAGGATTCATTTGTTACGCGTCCTTGAATTTAGCCTGGGGTCCGTGGTAAACATGTTTCAAATAAGGCCCATAAAACATATGTTAGCATGTGTCCTGTCGGTGAGGACCGCTGTAGCAATTACCAATTACTTGCTGCAGTACTGGCTCATGAAGAAGGATGCGGGTTCTGAAGCAAGTATATATCTTAACATGGGATAGTGAATCACGGTTGTGTTTAGTGAGGCGTTCTCAGAACGAGTTAAGGACTCCTTTGGTAGGGATCCCCTCAGCGAGGCTCCCTGCAATGAAGACTCCTGGATCGTGCGTCCTTCAATAAAGTCCGTTTAATACGAATGCTTGCTGTGAGGGATTCTCCACCGTACTGATGTGTTCGGGAAAGCCTCGTTAGGGAGGATTACGTTAGTACCCTCCTCCCTCCTCCCTCCTCCCTCCTCCGCCCTCCGCCCTCCGCCTTCCGCGCCCTCCGCCCTCCTCCCCTCCTCCCTCCCCCTCCTCCCTCCTCCCTCCCCGCCCTCTTCCCTCCTCCCCCCTCCCTCCTCCTCCCTCCTCCCTCCTCCCTCCGCCCTCCGCCATCCTCCCACCTCACTCCTCCCTCCTCCCTCCTCCCTCCTCCCTCCTCCCTCCTCCACAATTACACAATATGAAAATACTCTCCCACTTCCCCTGATGGCGTCCCGAAAATATCCGACACCCCCCCGCGCACTGTTTTTTACACACAGGATTCCCGGGAAACGGGTTTTCGCTTGCGTTTTTGTTCAAAATGCTGCTCTCGCTGAGGCGCCGGCCTCATTTCTGCTCCCGAATCGTTCCGGATCGTGCTCCCGCTGCAGCGTGGGCCTCATTTTCGGATCGGTGTTTGGCCTCCGTCGTTCAGGATGGCGTTCTCGCCCCAGCGCGGGCCTCTTTCTCGCGCGCCATCCGCCCGCCACCACCGCGCCGCACCACCACCACCACCACCACCACCACCACCACCACCACCACCACCACCACCACCACCACCACACCACCACATCACCACCACCACCACCACCACCAACACCACCACCCACAACACCACCACCACAACAACCACAACCACGCACACACGCACGCACGCACGCGCACCACCACCCACTACGCACACGCGCGCGGAGCCACAGGTCCGCTACGACACGCGTCCGCGGATAGAGAAAATCAGCGCCATGGTAAGGGATGGGAGGCAGGGTAGGACGTCAGATATGACGCGAGCGCACATAGCTTGGCCCTATCCCCTCTCCTTCCTCTCCCCAGGCTCATTCAGGCCGGCAGCCTTCCTGGAACAGTTGTTTGCCGCTGCTGCTAGGGGAAGGAGGAGAGGAGGGAGGAGGAAGGAAGTAGGAGGAGGAGAGGAGGATGAGGTAGGAGGAGAGGAGGGAGAGGAGAGGAAGGAGAGAGGGGAGGGGGGGGAGGGGGAAGGGGGTCCTTTAGCACCTGAACTGAGGAGGAGGAGGAGGAGGAGGAGGAGCAGGAGGAGGAGGACATCCCTATCATCGGTCTCGACGGTATCGCTGCCCCCCACGGCGGCCCCCTCGGCCGCGGCGGGCGCTCTGACGGGCGGGGCCGCAGCTTGTAGGCGAAGTCGCCCATGGCGCGGCTCACCTGGAGGAAGAACAGAGAGGCATACAGGGCAGTTTTTATTACATAGGATGTTTTTGCATTATAATACATGATTTATGTATGAATACATGTATGCATGAGCTCCTCGTTGTTTTCCATACTAAACCCCTGCATGTTCAATGCATGATCCGCGCGCGGAGCATGCATCAAAAACGGCACTGTACAGTCAACCAGTACAGTAAGGATGCGTGATAAGGATGCAAGGGCAATGGAAGGCCGTTTCGAAGCTTTTCGAGCGGGGCGCGGCCAGCGAAAGCGGCGAAGGATGGACCGAGGAGGCGAGGATGCAAGGGTACCCCTGGGAAGGTTGCCCATCCTTACTATGCGGGATGACTGGAAGATAAACTTTGGCGCTCGGCGCGGATGTCTTGGATCTGCCCTGACCCCCCCCCTCCCTGGCGCGCGGAGCGCGTCAGGGGCGGCGCCGGAGGCGCCGCCAGGGGGCCCGAGCGCAGATCCAAGAGATCCGGGCGGAGCTCCGAAAAATTATGCCTATGGTTAGGTCGGGCATGTCCCCATACAGGTGGATTTTGGAAGAACTATTATCAAAATTATCCCAGTGCGACCCTACCTAGGAGTTGGAGCCTCTAGGAAAGCAACATCCCGCTATGCCATGCTATGCTAGCAGCGCTATGCTATGCTATGCTCTGCTCTGCTCTGCTCTGCTCTGCTCTGCTATGCTATGCTATGCTATGCTATGCTATGCTATGCTATGCTATGCTATGCTATGCTATGCTATGATATGCTATGCTATGCTATGCTATGCTATGCTGCGCAATCCTATGCTGGGCTAGGCTAGGCTAGGCTATGTTATGCTATGCTATGCTGCGCTATGCTATGCTATGCTATGCTATGCTATGCTATGCTATGCTATGCTATGCTATGCTGCGCTATGCTATGCTATGCTATGCTATGCTATGCTATACTATGCTATGATATGCTATGCTATGCTATGTTTTTGCTTTGCCTTCGCTTTTGCCTTCACATTTGCCTTTGCTTGTGCTTTTGCTTGGCACCCAGGGAGCGCAACTGGGGGAACCGCACGTTTGCTTTTACCTCTGCTGTTGCTTTTGCTTGGCTCCCAGGGGACTGGGAGAACCGTCCGGGGCGATTTCCACTGCCCGGCCCCTTTAAGCCAAGACGGTAAGAACCCTTCTAGGCAGAGCCTAGGTAGGGAAAAAGTATTCAAAAATGATTCAAAAATACAGCAAATCGTCCCCATATTATTTTTTTACTATTCTCGAATATTCCTCCTGCAGAGGGACATGCCCGATGTAAGCTTGTGGCGGTCTTTCTCTTCTTCGATCACCGCCAGGGCGCCGTCGACGCGCAGCGGCCCGCCTCTCCGCGCACATGGGGCGGGGGGGGGGTGGGGCAGGGAGGCGTGGGAGAGGGGGAAGATGCGGCGTGCGGCGTCTCGGGAGCGGCCAAGAGGGGGGTGTCCAAGAGAGGGGGTGCAAATCATGACCGGCGGCATGTGCGCGGCCCAGCGGGGGGGCCAGGGATGTAATGAAATAAGAAGAGGCGCCCCGAAATCTGGGGAGATCTCATGGCCCGCGCCACGATATCCACCCCCCCCTAGTCATCACCCCCCTCTTTTCCGCCCCCGAGCGTCGCCGATGCGCGCGCTCGAGCAGAGTGTGCCGGGGCGGATGGCGCCACGTGGCCCGAGGACCACGCCACTGACGCCACCGCCCCAGCACAGGTCGAGGGAGAGGGAGGGCGGCGGCAGCAGGGAAGGGGGGGGAGGGGAGGGAGGACGTGGGCAGACGCTTTCCCCCCCATGCTGCTGTCTTCTTGGCCCCCCGGAGGGTCGAGGTCCATTCCATCAGCTGGAGCTCGGCGAGAGCCTCAAGAAGCCAGCTCTAATGCACCGATCGGCCATCTGTGGGCTACGTTCAGCCTTTGGGGCCGATTCGATACAATGATAAAGGATGCGAGCCATCATGGAGGGAGGACCCTGAGATCCCAGCAATGCAATATTTGCCAGGGGTCTGGAGCTCCAGTCGTGACTTTCGCGAACCATTGCGGGGAGGGGATGGTGGGGAGCTTCCTCCTCGCACGGGCGACGAGGGGGAGAGAGGGACGCGTTCGCCTTCCCCCCCTTTGCCCCCTCACGTCCGTTTAGCGTGCCTCGCTTCAGAAGCGCTGGCTCGAGTAAGGATCGTGGCAGGCCGTGTTCGAAGGCTGGTCACTCAAGCGCCCACTGGCCAGCGTGGAAGAAGTACACAAGCAGAAGCGATGTCACATCAGGGCCAGCACGACGGAGACAAGGGGCAGTACAGTATTGGCATCGTCACTGGCTTCAGCATTCGTGCGTATCCCTCCAGACCAGGGAGGGAGAGGGTCGATGATCGTTGGAGACGAAATCTGCATAAACACCAACTCTCGGAGCTCGACGCGGAGGGTTTGGATCTTCGCTGGAGCCCGCCGGCGGCGCCTCGGGCGCAGCGCCTGGCGTGCTCCGCGCGCCAGGAAAGGCGGGCTCAGCGCCGATCCAAGAGATGGGGGGGGGCTCCCTCTTCGCAAGGGTTCGAGGCTCGACGTCCTCAGTTGACTCGAAAACCACCAGGGGAGGTGGTGGGGGAGGGGCACGAGAAACCCCGAGACCCCCTGCCGTTGCGAGAATCAGAGACACTGATGGGCCTGTTTTCCACCACCATCACCACCATAAGTTGGAGGGGGGAAGGATGAGGAAGAGGAGGAGGAGGAGGAGGAGGAGGAGGAGGAGGAGGAGAAGAAGGAGGTGGAGAAGGACCCCCTGCCCCTCCAACTTATGGTGGTAGTGGTGGATAACAAGCCCATCAAACACGACGACATTTCCATGTGCCATGTCTAGTCTCTGGGGGCCCGCGCCGGGCCCTTGGACCCTTGGACCGTCAAGGGGCGACCAAGAATCGGAGACCCGTCTCGGGGAGAGGGCCGAGACCTCCAGGGGGCCCAAGCTGTGAAGAATCACGACGCCGGCGGTCTGCGACGACGACCGACGACGACGCCGCCGCCGACGGCGACGACCGACGACGACTGACGACGACGACCGACCCGCAGATCCATGCGTCGCCACTGTCTCACGCCTGGCGTTCTCGCCAGGTCTCGGGTCCGCGCCGAGACCTCCGTGGCTCACGCCGTGAACAAGACACGCGCACTCGGGGGGCCTGGGGCTGAGGGGGGCGGGGGAACGGAGGGGGATAATACGGCTGGCGTCGCAGAGACAGCCTGCAGCGCTTCTCCGAGAAGCACGCCCTTCCCCCCCAAAAGAGAGCAGGCTCCCCCCGTGCGCGGGACCTCTGTGCGAGGGCCAGCCCCTCTGCGAGGGATCCTGCCGTGACACGCCGTCGATGGGGGGCCACATGCGAACCCCACCCCTACCCCCCACGATTTCTGAGGGGGAGGGTAGGGTTCACCTCGCTCGGGAGCTCCCGCACGACGTGAACCCCACCCACCCTCCCCCTCAGAAATCGTGGGCGGCAGGGGTGGGGTTCGCACGTGGCCCCCATGCGGGATCTCTGCGAGGGCCGTCCCCTCTGCGCGGGATCCTGCCGTGCACGCCGTCGGCCCTGCCAGACTCCTGCTCCGTGCACGCTGCCCCCCAGGGTGGGGCACGGCGTGCAGTCAGCGGGGCCGGCGGCGGCGCACCGCAAGCCTCGCCCCCCCCCCCCCCGCTTCGCGATGCATGCACTGGTCGGCTTGGTCGGCTCGCTGCGGCCCACCTCGCGCGGCGCCGCTCGACGGCCCGCGGCGGCGCGAGACGTCCGCCCCCAGGGAGGGGAGGGAGGTGGGTGAGGGACGGGGAATGGAGGACGAGGGAAGGAGGGGAGGAGGAATGGAGGATGGAAGGAAGGAGGGGAAGGAGGCAGGGAGAAAGGAGGCAGGGAAGGAGGTAAGGAGGGGAGGAAAGAAGGGAGGGGGGGGGGGGGGGGGAGAAAGGAGGGGAGGAGAGAGGGAGGGATCCTCGAACTCTCGGCGAGCCTTGCGCCCGCCCGCGCAGGGGCACAGGGTCCAGGCAGAAGGCAAGGGAGGAGCGGAGGAGGGAGGAACGGAGGAGGATGGGAGGGAGGGAGGAGGAACGGAGGAGGGATCCTCCTCCTGCCTCTCCCTCCTCCTCCACCCTCCTCCTCCTCCACTCCTCCTGCCTCCTCCTCCCCTCCTCCTCCTTCCTCCTCCTCCGCCGCTCCTCCTCCTCCTCCTCCTCCTACCTCTCCTCTCCCTCCTCCTCCTCCTCCTCCTCCTCCTCCCCTCCTCCTCCTCACTCCTCCTCCTCCTCTTTCTCCTCCTCCTCCTCCTCCTCCTCCTCCTCCTCCTCCTCCTCCTCCTCCCCCTCCTCCTCCTCATCTCCTCCTCCTCCTCCTCCCTCCCTCCCTCCCTCCCTCCCTCCCTCCCTCCCTCCCTCCTCCCTCCCAGTTCCCTCCTCCCTCCCTCCCTCCCACCCTCCCTCCTCCTCCCCTCCTCCTCGGAGGAGGGTGGATGGACTTTTCGGTGTCCCGTCCGTGCATCTCGCGCCGCTTGTAGCGGCAAGCGGTCCCCGTATGGTCCTCCTCCGCCTCCTCCTCCTCCTCCTGTCCCCCTCCTCCCCTCCTCCTCTTCCTCCTCCTCCTCCTCCTCCTCCTCTCCTCCTGTCCCCTCTTCTCCTCCTCCCCTCCCCTCATCTGCTCCTCCTCCTCCTCCTCCTCCTCCTCCTCCTCCTCCTCCTCCTCCTCCTCCTCCCCTCCTCCTCCTCCTCCTCCTCCTCCTCCTCCTCCTCCTCCTCCTCCATTCCTCCTCCAAATGAACAGCTCCTCCCTGTCGCACCCCGAGGCCGGTCGAAAGTGCCTTTCGCCTGAAACTTCTTCACCATCTATGACCTTGATGCATTTCACGAATGGAAGGCGGGTGGTTTTCAAAATGTGGCTCTCGCCTCCGCGCCGCGCACATTCGTTCTCAACAACAAATCACGGATTGAGGGCGGTTCCTTTTTCAACATGTGGTTCTCACCTTAGCACCGCGCATATTACTTCAAATATTTGCAAGAGGGCCACGGATTGAAGGCGGCTCGATTTCAAACTGTGGCCCTCGCCTCGCCTTAGCGCCGCGTCCGAACAACTTCTAAGATCTTCACGGAATTATGCCGATTCCTATCAACATGTGGCTCTCGCCTTAGCGCCGCGCACATTTGATTTAAGCACGTGCAAGAGTTTCACTGGCTCTCATGGCTAATGTACCAGAAACGGCGTCTTGAAACGATTCAGGACTGTCTGGGCGCAACAGCTACGTTGCTGCGCGATGCTGATGTCTCAGGAATGGCGTTCTGGCACGATTCTGGATCGCCAAACAGTCTGCTTTACTCGTGGCGTTGACGTCCTGAGAATGGTGTTGTGGCACACTTCAAGATGTTCACACCGCTGTCCCCCAACGGGGTAGCTCCCTCAGTGGAAATGACCCCTTGCAGGGTCCTGTGAAGAAGGATCTCTGCGGGAGGGTGTATTTCAACATCGTTAATGAATCTTGGGTTTGCACTGATCGTCCTCCACGTCCTCCTCTCCCCCCTGCTCGCCTTTCTTCCGCTCCTTCATTCCTCATCCTTCCTCCCGCAATGGACCCGCACCAGCCCAAAAACACCTCCCTTGACTAATCTCCCTGACCATTCCTCCTTCACCTCGACTTCGTCCGCCGCATCCCGGTCATCCTCCCTCTCCGTTTCTTCCTCCTCCTCCTCCTCCTCCTCATCCTCCTCCTCCTCCGCCTCCGCCTGCTCCTGCTCCTGTTCCGTACTTATTCCTTCTATGTGATCGCTATTTGGTAGTAATCCTCCACTCCTCCTCCTCCGCCTCATCGTCCTGCTTCCTGGTAGACATCATCATCAGCAGCATTGTCGTCATCACCGTCAGCATAATCACCACCAACACCACCCTCGTCATTAGCATCCCCACCATCACCTTCACCACCACTTCTATCACCACCATCACCATCATCACCACAATCATCGTCATCATCGTCATCATCAGCATCATCAGCATCGTCATCATCATCATCATCATCATCAGCAGCAGCAGCAGCAGCATCACCACCATCACCATTACCATCATATCCTCTTCATCATCACCAACATCATCATCAGCATCAGCATCATCATCGTCGTCATCATCATCAGCATCATCAGCTCTCCCCCTACTGCTCCTGCTCATCCTCCTCCTCCACATCATCACCATCAGCATCATCATCAGCACCATCATAATGAGCATCACCATCATCATCAACAACATCATCGCCAGCATCGTCGCCATCATGAGCAGCATCATCATCATCAGCATCATCATCATCATCATCATCATCATCATCATCATCATCATCAGTACCACCAGCATCACTGCTATCAGCAGCAACATCAGCATCAGTATCACCACCATCACCACCATCACCATCGCCGTCACCATCAGCACCACCATCGCCATCACCATCGCCATCGCCACCCATCCTCACCACCAGCACCATCAAAAAGAGCATCTGAATCACCATAACCGGCGTCACCAACATCCTCATCCTCGGCACCATCATCACCACGATCACCACCATACTCCTCATAAACATCATCAGCAGCATCCTCATCAGCAGTATCCTCATCATCAGCATCACCATCATCATCAGTAGCAGCAGCAGCAGCAGCATCACCATCATCAGCAGCAGCAGCATCACCATCTGCAGCGAGCTCGAGAGAACCCCGGGCCTAGCGGGCCGCGCATGACGCTGCCGCCCGCGGCCCTGATGCGGTCCGACTCGTCCTCGGGTTCCCCCTCGCTCTTCCCACCTCCCTCCTCCATCCACGTGTTCCCTGCCCCCAATCGGTCCCTCCGTCCCCCCTCTCCCGCCTCCACGGATCTTCCCTCTCGCCTGTCCCTCCTCCTCCTCCTCCTCCTTCCTCCCTCCTCCTCCTCCTCCTCCTCCTCCTCTTCCCCCTCCCCCTCCTCCTCCTCCCCCTCCTCCGCCTCCTCCTCCTCCTCCTCCTCCTCCTCCTCCTCCTCCTCCTCCTCATCCTCATCCTTATCCTTTTCCTCCTCCCTTTCCTTCGTCCTGCCTCGTCATCGTTCATCCTCCCGCCTCTGGCCCCCTCATTTTCACATCGTTCATCAATCCGCCCTCCTCTTCTCATCCCTACCTCCCGATCAGCCCTCATTGTTCCTCTAAGCTCTTCTCCAAATTGCAGATTCCATCATCTCCCTCCTTCTCCGTCCATCCGTCTCCCTCCGTCGCCCTGTGTTCATGCATTCAACCTCCTAATTCGTGTTCCACCCAACTGAACCTCCGCCCCACTCACTTCATTGCGATTACCGTTTGAACTCCCTCTTCCACCCCAGTTCCTCCACAGCCTCCGCCTCCCGATTCCACATCCACTTTCTCCGCCCGCGACTCGTTCTGCACCGCCTCCTGCTGGTATTCCTCCGCCTCCCCCTCGCCATACATGTTATGGCGTGGCCCGTTGCAGTAGATGCTCGCAAAGCAGATCACGGCTGTACGCGCGCCCTCGTGTGTTCGGGCGTTCGCGTGCGTACCCTACATCCTCGCCACCCTGCGCGGTCGCCCTGGCGGGCCGCCTCGGCCCCCAGCGCCGTCCGCAGCTAGCGTGCGGTGGCCGCATGCACGGCCACGGCCTGCTCCTCCTCCTCCTCCTCCTCCTCCTCCTCCTCCTCCGCCTTATCCTTATCCTCCTCCTCCTCCTCCTCCTCCTCCTCCTCCTCCTCCTCCTCCTCCTCCTCCATTCCTTTTTCTTCTGTTAAGTTCTTCCTGTCGAACCCCGAGGCCGGTCGAAAGGGCGGGCGGGGCGTTTCGCCTGAGACTTCCTCACCACGTATGACCCCGAAACTTCAAAACTGGCAAGGGTTACGCGGATGCAGGACATGCCGGTTTCATCATGTGGCTCTCGCCTGAGCGCCGCGCACAGTCGTTTGTTAAAAGTTTGCAAGAGCTTCACAGATGGAGGGCGGGTGGTTCTCAAAATGTGGATCTCGCCGTCAGCGCAGCGCACGCTCGCCTCAGAGAAGTTGAAACAGGTTCAACGGATGGAAGAAGGCGGGCCGTTTTCAAAATGTGGCTCTCGCCTGTGCGCAGCGCACATCCTTGCCAAACTGTTTAAAATAATGGCATGGATGGAGGGCGGGTCCCTCTCAACCTGTGGTTCTCACGCGCACTCGAACTGCACATATGCAAGAGCTTCCCGCGTGGAGGGCGCTTCGTTTTCAAGATGCGGCTCTCGCCGCAGCGCCGCGCGCATGCGCTTCAAGAGTTCACGACGAGCGCGTTTCTTTATGTTCGGCGATGGTGGGCATCACGGGGGGGGGGGGGCGAGTGGGGGGTATGACGTAAGGCCCCCCCCCCACCGATCGGTTCTGGCACCGGAGCCGCGCCCGTGCGCACGACGCGACGAGCGACGAGCGACGAGCAACGACGACGACGATGACGACGACGACGACGCGAGCAGCATGTAGATGGCGATATGCCCCACTGCTGCGCCTGTGCACACCACATCGTTCGCGTGCACCACAGCGCGCGTGAATACCACAGCGCCTGCGTACACCGCAACAACCGTGTGCAACGCAGCGCCTGTGTACACCACAGTGCTTGCTTACACTACGGCGCCAGTGTACACGCGTACACCGCAACAACCATGTGCAACACAGCGCCCGTGTACACCACAATGCTTGCGCGCACCGCAACGCCTGCGCACGCCACAGCGCCTGTCTACACCACAACACCCGCGTGCAACGCAGCGCGGGTGTACAACACAGCGCCTGCGTGCATAGGACAAGTAGAAGGAGCATGTACGTCAGGATCTGCTGCGGACAACTAGACGCCAAGCCAGGAAAATGCTGATATCAGATGCGACGTTTTTCCCTCCTCACCCCTCCTCCAACTCCACCACCTCCTCCTCCTCCTCCTCCTCCTCCTTTTCCTCTTCCTCCTCCTCCTCCTCCTCCTCCTCCTCATCCTCATCCTCATCCTCATCCTCCTCATCCTCTTCCTTACCCCTTGTCGTGCGGATTGGCGCTACAGCGCACATGCGCATCTCAGCGTGCACCGCAGACTGGCCTATTGAATCGGTCCACTTGGTTCTCGGACGGCCAATTTAGCTGGAGCCTCCTGGACGCACATGGGAGGAGCTAGGGCAATGCGGGCGGACTCGGGGGGACTCTTGGATTCCAGCGGCGCTCCGTTGCCCATAAGGATTCCTCTTGTATTGTTTTCTGTGGAATCCACAATCATTCTATTTTGTCATAAGGATCCTTCGGATATTCTATATACAACAGTGGTGCTGTGTTGCACACGGTTGCTGTGGTGCACACAGGCGCCGTGTTGCACAAAGGCACTGCAATGCACGCAGGCATTGTGGTAGACACTGCTGATGTGATGCGCACGGCTGATGTGGTGCACGCAGGCGCTGTGGTGTACACAAAATCTGTTGTCCGGCGGGCACGGTGGCACAATCTGACGCTGTGTTGCACGCGACTGCTGTGGTGTACATAGGCGGTGTGGTGTACACAGGCGGTGTGGTGCACGCAGGCATTGTGGTGTACACAGGCGTTGTGGTGCAGATCGCCACCCACATGCTGGGGCTGCCCGTCCTCCGTCATTCCTAAATATTCCCAGACGCCGCCGGCGCGAAACGTGACGTCATCGACCCCCTCCACCCCCCCCCCCCAGGAGATTGCCATGACCGCCCGGAAGAGAAAAAAAAAAAAAAAAGGCTCCAGCCGCGCCCGCGCGCACGACAACGATGAGCGACGAGCGACGAGCCACGAGCGACGACGACGACGTCGACGACGACGACGACGACGGCGACTGCGGACCAGACTCCAATGCGGATTCCTACGCGGACACCTACGCGGATCGCAACGCGCACGGCGGCAGTGCCCGGAGCGCACTGGGGGTGGGGGAGAGACGGAAAGGTTGAAGCCACTCGATCACTCTGAAGTGGGAAGGCGCTTAAAGTAGACTGTAGTATGGGAATCCACGAAAACCTACTTTCAACGACCGATAGGTAATTCTTCTCATGGTTTACGTACCACAAAGGGTATTGTGGCAGGATGTCGGACTGCCGTTGCGCAACGGTTGCGTTCATTCGTGGTGTAGGAGGTCCCAGGGGCGATGTTCTGGCACGATGCTGGATCTCCACGGCGCAACAGTAACGGTGACTGGCGACGTTGAAGTCCCAGGATCGGTGCTCTGGCACAGTTTCAAGAGTTTCACGCGATTCTCTTTCAGCGGGGCACTTCCCTCGGGGCATATGACGATGGAACTGAAAAGAGGGTTTACTGCACTATCGTTGATGAGCCTTGGGTTTGCACTGGCCCTTCTCCTCCTCCTCCTCCTCCTCCTCCTCCTCCTCCTCCTCCTCCTCCTCGACCCTCCTAGCCCCGAGCGGAGCCTGCTATCTATTGCCATGATGGCAGTACCAACCTTGCTCTGGGACGTAGAAGCAAGAGCGTGGAGCACGGTACGCAGGCGCAGCAAAGGCGGCCGCCACTTCAGGCGGACAGGGGCGAGTTCGGCTCCCCTGCATCTGCAAGCAACGCGGCGTGAACTATGGCCCACTGCTGCGGCGAAGGCGGCATGCAGATCGCGCGGGCATCGTGGCGGTGCCGTGTGGAACGTGAGCCCCGATGGCACCTTCGGGCCTGCTCCAGGGCCGCGATCCCCGGCTGGGAAGCTGCGTGCTCCCAGTGGGGGCCCCGTTTGCGCGTGCCCGTCGGCTGTTTCCCCTCACTGTCCCGGCAGCTCTCTGAGCAAACAGCTGGAAACCGTTGCAGGTGAACTATGCCCCCATTGGCGATTGGTCCGCGGTTCCCCCAGGGGTGAACCATGGCTATGCGGGGTGTGGTCGGCGGGGCAGCGAGTCGCAAGGCGACTAGCCCCTGCTCGCGCCTGATGTAAATCCCCAGAGTCTGAGCTTCTTGTCCCTTGGCATTGCCAGGGCAGTCTGCACAAGAAATTAGACTCATATGGTCCTCGATCTTCCTCCTCCTCCTCCTCCTCCTCCTCCTCCTCCTCCTCCTCCTCCTCCTCCTCCTCAGCCGCCTCCTCCTTTGAACGTTGCCCAGACGTGGATCCACGGGAGCGCCGCGTCCTGCCACGGAGGTATGAAAAAGAAGGTAGAGTGCCCGACTTCGGTGATGCCGCCTCAGAGTTAAGCAATCATGCATACAACACTGAGGCTACAGCAAGCAAGTAAACGAGAGGCAAACGGCAAAAGACCAGCGGGGCATTGAAGATTACGCATCCCGCGGGATATTGCTGCAATTCGGAACGGGGGGCAAACCAAGCCTTCCTTCTCCACTCCTCTCCTCCTCCTCCTCATTCTCCTGCTGGATGCGCGCCCCCGGCACCAGACCCGTGTTTGGTCCAGTGTCCAACGGAGCCAGACGTGTCGGGCCGGAATCCAGATCAGATCACTATGGGTGCGTCTATCGAGGAGGGGGGGGGGGCCGAAGACCGCCCAGGCGCCCGCGACAAGACGCACCCCCAAAGGAGCCGGCGGGGGAACTAGGCGGGAAGAGAAGTACCTCCTCCTCCTCCTCCGCCTCCTGCTCCTCCTCCTCCGCCTCCTCCTCCTCCTCCTCCGCCCCTCCTGCTCCTCCTCCTCCTTCGCCTCCTCCCCTCCCTCCTCCTCCTCTCCTCCCTCTCCTCCTCCTTCTCCTCCTCCCTACTCCCTCCCTCCTGCTCCTCCCCCCCCTTCCTCCTCCCGCTCCTCCTCCTCCTCCTCCTCCTCGCCTCCTCCTCCGCCTCCGCCTCCGCCTCCGCCTCCGCCTCCTCCTCCTCCGTCCCTCTAAATTCTCAAGCTGCCACCGTGCCCCCTGGCACGTTGGGCGGTGCGAGAGTGCCAGGTGCTGCCTGGTAGGCAGGGCTGCGAGTTCTAAGCGCCCCCCCCGGGACCGCGCCCACCGCGTGCACCACCCCCCCCCTCTTCCTCCTCTTCCTCCTCTCCCTCCTACCCCTCCTCCCTCCTCCTCCTCCTCCTTCTCCTCCTCCTCCTCCTTCTCCTCCTCCTCCTCCTCCTCCTACTCCTCCTACTCCTACTCCTACTCCTGCTCCTCCTGCTCCTCCCCCCCTCTTCCCGAGGTCACAGTCCTATGCAAAATGCAACACCTTCGTGCGCCCGAGGCCCAGATGCCTCCAAAACGGCCCACTGTCGCGCAACGACGGGCCACGTCGGCCTCAAGACGGCCCAAGATCATCTTGGGCCGTCTGGAGGCCCACTAGGGAGTCGAGGAGTCCCGAGAGAGCCACAAGTCCCCAAGACGACCAAAGGCTACAGGGCGGCCGAGGAGGCGCCCGAAAATGCCCAAGAGGGCCCAACACGGCCCCAAGAAAGGCCCAAGAGGATGAACACGAAACGACGATTCGAGCCTTCCGCCCCAAAACGGATCAGGAGGCCTCAAGAGGTCCAGAGATGCCCCGAAGAGGCCCCCAAGAGAGCCCCGAAAGGCGCAAGCTGTTGATTGTCCACTTTACCAGACGAACCAAGAAGCTTCCAAGACTCCTCCGAGACAGCTCAAGAGGCCCCCATGAGAGCTCCAAAATAGGGAAACGAACTCGATACACCGACGCGTTTTCCGACCCTGCGCTGAAGTTCGCACAGCAACACAGATCCTGGTGTATACGGGATCCTTGTGAATACAATTTTCGTTGTTTCCCTTGGTAAAAGATGGAAAAGTATACACCACACCACCCCAGCGTCGTCCCCGACCCTCAGAAAGTCCTCAGACCCCGCCACTGGTGATGTACATTCCCCAGCTTCCGACAAACCGGCGCCCAAGATGTGCCAAGGACTGCCCCGGAGCGCCCCCAGAACGGCCCCAAGAGCAGTCCAAGAGTAGAAACACACGAAGGAAGAAGTCGAGCCCTCTGCCACGGGAGGCCCCTGTAGCAGGCACACAGTGGGCCCTGGAAACGACAGGGCCGTTTTTTACCGGTTCCGTTTTGCCGTTTTCTTGCCGGTTCCGACGCCGTTTTTGTTACCGGTTCCATCGCCGTTGTTTGACCGGTTCTGGCTCAAGGTTCCAATCATGCAGCCGTTTTTTTGCCGTTTCCGGTCGCTGTTTTTTTGCCGCTTCCATTTTCAAGGGACACTTTCTCGGACACGGTGAAAAAACGGCCCTGCCGTTTCCAGGGCCCACTAAGAGCAGGCCCCCCCTCGCCTCCTCGAGCGCCTGCCCCCCAGGAGTGCCGCGCTGGCACGGCGGCGGCAGGGCCCGGGGCAGCCGCACAGGTCCTCCCCATGCCGCCGCAATCCCCGGACGCTGTCGGCGCGGCGGGCCGGGCGGTCCGCCTGGAACGCCCCCACCGAATCTGATCCTGGTCCTGAAACTCCGAACCCGCAACGGCCTCAAGGACGGGAGGGCGGGCCCCTTTTCAGAATGTGGCTCTCGCCCTGGCGCCGTGCACACACACACACACACACGCACACACGCACACGCACACGCACACACACACGCACACACACACGCACACACACTCGTCCTAAATTGCACGCGTGCAGAGCGAGTCGTGGTCAAACTGTGTGACTCTCGCCGGAGCGCCGCGCGCGTCCGTCTCACAGCGCGGCGGCCGCTTCGAGGGTGGAGGGCGAGTCCTTTTCCAAGTGTGGCCATCGCCTGAGCGCCGCGCACACTCGTCTTAAGAATGTGCAGAAGCTTCAAGGATGGAGGGCGGCATGTTCAAAATCTGGCTGGTTGCAACAATTTCACGGATGGAGGACGGGTCCTTTTCAAAATGTGGCTCCCACCTGAGCGCCGCGCACATTCGTCTTGAAAATGTGCAGCAGATCCAAGGATTGGTATTGTTGAAGTCTCCAGATTTGTGCTCTGACGCGATTTAGGACCGTCAGGAACAAACATTCAGTTTGATTCGCGGTGTTGAAATCCCAAACACGGTGTTCTGGCACGATTTGGGATTGGCAGGGCGCCGCAATCATGTTTATTCGGGGCGCTGGAGCCCCAGGAATTGCAAACGTGCCGCGACTGAGGCTCTTAGACGATCGTCTTCCAGCGGGGCACTTCCCTCAAGGAGAAGGGACCCAAATCGAGGGAACCTGGAGAAAAGGTTTATTGCAACACCGTTGATCCGTCTTGGGCTTACACCAGTAGAGGCCTCCTCGATGGAGTCGGAGTAGATGGGGTCGGAGGATCGCGCCGCATCATCGATACACCGGCGATACATCGGCGATGCATCGGCGATGCACCGGCGATGCATCATCGACGTCGGTGATGCATCGGCGACGCCGACGTGAAGCAAATCGGGCTGCACATCGAGCCGCATCGGCGATGCATCAGCGATGCGGCGCGATCCTCCGACCCCGTCTACGCCGACCCCATCTAGGAGGCCTAGAACCAGTCCTCCTCCCATCCTCCTCCTTCCTCCTTTGCCCTGGCCCTCCTCCTGCCAACATGCGCGCGCCCGTCCTGGCGCCCGGGCTTGTGGTCCTCGCGCAGCAGGCTCAGGGAGGGGGAGCGGAGAAGGGGGAGGGGAGAGAGGAGGAGGAGAGAAGGGAGGAGGAGGAGGAGAAGGATGGAGGAGGAGGAGGGGAAGAGTCGAAAGGAGGAAGAGGAGGAGGAGCAGGAGGAGAAGGGATCGAGGAGGAAGGGGAGGATCCAGAAGGATTATGTAATATACGGCCACACTGCAGCTTGAATGGTAGAGGTGACAAACAGAAGACCGTGATGTACCACGTCAAACAGTTCGCAAGTATGCGCAATATACGCGAACCCATGGCTAAGCGGGGGGCCAAAACACGCAAAGCGCGGCGTGATCACATTCGACTCAAGCGGCACGATCGAGCTAGGTTGAGACTGCGTTGCGTGCTGATCCCAGGAGCCTTAAGCTGACTGCTGCAATTGGCACGACAGTGTGAGACCTACTAGTTGGGGAAAAACCTTCGAAAGGGCACTTCGACACTGTCGCCCGCTGCGGGCCCTCACTGAAGCATGTGGACTCGACGCTGCGGTTTGTCTAAATCCAGAGCTAAACCATTAGCAGCTTCAGCGTCAGCCGCGTCAGCATCTTCATCCATCCATCCAAGCCTGGGACGGGGCACGACGAGAAGGGGAAGCACTGATACTACCAGCGTCCGCGGCATGCGAAATTCGCCGGCCCAACGGGCCAGAGGTGTCTTAAGACCTCCGGCAACTGCTTTAAAGTAATTCTACGTCGCGCGCGCGGGGCGGCCCCTGGGGGTCCCCAGACGAAAAATACCCCCGGCAGGTCCCGGAAGACTCGGGTCAGAGATGGTTTGCCTCCTGGGGCCGCCCTCGAGGCGGTCCAGAGAGCCCCAAGAAAGACCAAGAGGCCGCCAAGAACCACTTCAAGATGATATTCATTGCTTTTCTTTAGGTTTGGCAGAGATTTGGGCGGTTCCACCGCTTCGGCTTCCCAACACCCCAAGACTGCCCAAGAGGCCCCCAAGACCGCCCCAAGAGGGCCCAAGAGGCCCCCAAGAGGGTCCCAAGAGGGCCCAAGAGGGCTCCAAGACGGCCCAAGAGGCCTCCAAGACGGCCCAAGAAGGCCCCAAGAACGCCCCAAGAGAGGTCCCAGGGGGGGAACACGAAACAACATTTCGAGGCCTCGGCCCTAAGAAGACCCCAGGAGTCCCCAAGACGCCCCCAACAGGTCCCTAAGAGGCCCCAAGAGGCCCCCAACAGGCCCTCAGGAGGCCCCCAAGAGGCCTCCAAGCGGTCCCAGGAGGCCCCCCAAATGCCCCCCCGAACACGCAAGCAAGTGCCAACGACCCGACGCGTTTAAGAGTCCCCAAGAGGCCACCAAGAGGCCTCCCGAAAGAGTCCCCATAAACAAAACGCTTCCAGATGGCCCGCGACGCGTTCAAGACTTCCCCAGCGGCCACCAAGAAGCCTCACATGCCGAACACAAAGCCTGATAAAAACAGCCGCCGCCCCTGCAGCTCCGCACCGCGAAAGACCACTCGGTCAGTCGACAACGGCGCGCAATATGGGCCGGCGGAATGAGCGAAGTGATTCAATAAGGAGGGGTCCGAGAAAAAAGGGAGCTGGAACTCACCAATCGCACTGGCCTGCTAAGAGCGTTCACTTCGAGAAGGTGCCGACCTAGCATGACAGTTCTTCTTCCAACCATCCTGGTAGTGCAATTCCCATGTGGATCGTGCCTGTGCCCTCGTTCCGAAACGCCTGCAAGATAGTCGGGCGAAGGCTCCAGCTCCGCATCGCGATGCTCACCGTGGGAATGGCTACAGCCATCAGGGGACCATGAAAACCAGACTACATCCGAATCAGTTGGAGATGAAAGCGGATTAGTGGGGATACGTGGCTGGATTCGGAGGGGCCAGGCCAGATGTCTACGAACGATGCCGAATTGAACCTTCGAGGACGTACATGCGACCTTGGGGGGGAGGGGGGGCAAAGCGGAGGGCACAGAAGGGCAGGGAATCTGGCAGGCCACGTAGAGGGGAGGAGGGGAGACAAGAAGGGGGGGGCCAGGGCCAAAGCTGACACCAGCTCGCACGCGCTGGTCCCAAATGAGAGGCGCCGTACGGAGAACGAGCGACGACAAGCCACGATCTTCGTCTGCTCTTCTTGCTCTGGCCGCTCGGGGAGCAACTGACAGAGGCCAGCGTCGACCTGGGCCACCTAGGGCCACTCAGCGAACCTGAGCCGGCCATGAGGTGTCCCCCAACCCAGGGTCAGCGGAGATAGGGCAGGGAGTAGAAGAAGAAGAAGAAGAAGAAAAAGTAACGGCATAAACACAAACTGTTGGCGCTCCGCGCGGATTTCTTGAACCTGTGCTGGACCCCCCTCCCTGGTGCGCGGAGCGCGCGCCGGGGGGCCCAACGCGGATCCAAGAGATCCGCGCGGAGCGCCAAAAATGTCTATGGTGTTCGTTTTTCCTAGAGGGAGGGCGACTCCAGATGGTCCCAGAGGCTGGGTCGGCCAGGAACGGATGACAGAGGATCGGCGGATCCCAGACAGGGTCGGGTCGCACAGCCAAGGGGTGGTTGACGAATCAGCTCGCGCAGCTGCTGTCCCTGGCGCACCCCCGGCGCCTGGCACCGAACCAGCTGCACGGAGCAGATATCACACCCCTCCTCGCCATCCCCCTCGACTTATTCTGAGACACGCGAGAGCGCCGCCTCGAAAACAGCCTGCGGCCCATCCGCGCAACCTCTGGAATTTTCAAGCTGCAGGATCCTCAACCGGGGAGGGAGCTTCAGGCGACACGCCCGGCCCGCCTTCACGACACGTCGGGCGGTGCAGGACCACCTCGGCCACCTCCGGGGATCCCAACTTCCCAACTGATGGGACGGGAACTGCAAGGCGCAGGGCCTGGCACCAGGTCGACCTCACCAGCTTGAGCGGGTGGGGGCACGCAGGGCTGAGCAGCGCCACGAGAGGAGGAGGAGGAGGAGGAGGAGGAGGACGAGGAGGACGAGGAGGAGGACGAGGACGAGGAGGAGGAGGACGAGGAGGACGAGGAGGAGGAGGAGGAGGACGACGACGACGAGGATGAGGACGACGAGGAGGACGAGGAGAAAGAGGAGAAAATTCCCGGCCTCGCCTCGCGCCAGGCCGCGTAGGGCATGGGTCAGCAGGAGGACGCAGGGCTGCTGAGGGAGGAGCAGGGGCGGCAGCAGGACGCAGGGATGCCGAAGATGAGGCGTTGTGTGTGTTTCCCTCCTTGCTTATTGGCTCCCTCTCCTCTCCGTCCGTCCGTCGGCCCGGTCTGTCCTTCCCCGTCGTCCTCCTTCATTCTCCTCCTCCCCTTCTCGCTCATCGGTTCCTCGCCCCCTTGCCCGTTTCCGCCCCTTGCCTGGCCCGCGTTTCTTTGTCGGCCCGTCCCGGTGTCCGTATAAGAGCTGCGTCGCCCCGCGCTGCAACGCTGGCGAGTAGCCCGGCGTGGACAGCAGCTCGCGCTGTTGATGAGGTGTGGTGATGGGGGCGTTGGGAATCCACGCCCTTGCGGGTGTCTCCGCTTTCCCGCCTGTCGTTGCCCTTCTAGCTCCTCTTGCAAACGCACTGCTCGTACAGAAGTTCTGTGCTCACGCATGTGATTTCCTGGACCCGCACGCACAAATCGTTCAGGCGCGGCGTTCGCGGCGATCAACGTCGGAGCAACGGAAAGAGCAAGAAGATAAATTGAGCCCCCCCGGTCTTCCGGCCCAACAATGGGGAGCGCCCAAGGATACCGATGCCGCTACTCTACGGACCTTTCCTGGGGCGCCTTCTGACCAACATTTCGAAGAGAATTCAGACGTGCAAACGAGGGCTCTCCAGGAAAAGCAGCGGTATCGGTACGTACATCTTCCTCTTTTGCAGACGCAGCGTTTTTAATGCGCAGCCCCAGATGCATGTCATGACCCAATCCCTGGGGCCAGCTTTTCGCCATGGATACACTGTTTGATGGTCCTGGTGCCCAGTAGCTGGCCCCTCGGACCCAACTCGAGGAAAAACTGCCCGTCGAACAGATCAGATCGTGCTATACAGAGATGAGCGCCCTGGCCCGCCCGCCCAATTTCACGAGCGGCGAACATATCCGTGTCCGCGCCCTCGCGGTCTGGATTCCGGGGCGCCCGCGGATACGCGGGCGCGCGGGTGCATCCCGCGCGGAAGAACCACAAACAAAAACAACGCCCCGCATCCGCGGGGGCGCGGCCCGGTGGCCCAGCCCGAGAGGCCGCGGACACGGATGCGTGCCTCGCCCCCGTCCCCGTCGCCGTCCCCGTCGTCCTCGCCGCCGTCCTGACCGTCGCCCGCGGCGTCGTCGCCGTCGTCGCCCAACCGCGCCGCGCCCCGTCCTCCGAGCACACCAGCCCATCGCCCCTGCAGACGATGGCCCGCGAGTCGCCGCAGTGCGCCAGCTGCACGCAGTACTCCGAGGGCCTTCGGCGGCCGCCGCCGCCGACGACAACGACGCCGCCGCCGCCGCCGACGACGACGGCGACGCAGACGACGACGACGACGACGACGACGACGACGACGACAACGCAGGCGACGGTGAGGACGACGGCGAGGACGGCGGCGAGGATGGCGGAGAGGACGACGGGGACGGCGACGGGGACGACCACGACGGGGACGAGGAAGGGAAGACGACAGCGAGGGGAACAGGCAGCGGGCGGGGAAGGGGGAGAAGCGGGGGGGTCGAAGAGGACGGCACTACTAAGTGGACATCGACGGGGGGCGCATTCTAAGAATGCCACCACCACCACCACCACTACGACTACGGATACGGGCACGATTACTACTACGACTACTACTACTACTACTACTACTACTACTACTACTACTACGACGACGACGACGACGACGACGACGACGACGACGACGACGACGACGACGACGGACTACTATACGGACTACTACTACTCTACCTCACTTACTACGAACAACTAACTTACTACTACTACTACTACTACGTACTACTACGAAACTACGACTACGACTACTACTACAACGACTAGCTACCAATACAACTGCGAACGACCTACTAACTACTAACTACTACTACTACTACAACTACTACGAATACTAACTAACTAACTGCTACTACTACGTACTACTACAATCAACTACTACAACTACTACTACTACTACAACTACTACTAACTTCACTACTAAACTCCTACTACTTCAACTACTACCACTACTAACTACTATACTACTACTAACTACTACGACTACTACTAACTACTACTACTACTAACTAACTACTACACTTGCACTACTACTACTGCTACCTACTACTACTACAAAAACTACTACTACTACTACTACTACTACTGCTGCTACTACTAGTACTACTACTACTGCTACTACTACTACTACTACTACTACTACTACTACTACTACTACTACTACTACGAACTACGAACTACGAACTACGAACTACGAACTACTAACTACTAACGACTAACTACTAACTACTAACTACTAACTACTAACTACTAACTACTAACTACTACTACTACTACTACTACTACTACTACTACTACTACTACTACTACTACTACGACTACTACTACTACTACTGCTGCTACTACTACTACTACTACTACTACTAGCTACTACTACTACTACTACTACTACTACTACTACTACTACTACTACTACTACACTTACTACTACTACTACTACTACTACTACTACTACTACTACTACTACTACTACTACTACTGCTACTACTACTACGACTAC